GGCTCCCACATGCTCCTCGATGTTGTCATCGGATGAACCACTATGTCGAGGATTCGATCAAACCTTGTATGCAATTCCCTTTGCCAATCGGTACGTTACTTGCCCGAGACTCGATCGTCGGTATCCCAATACCTTGTTCAGTCTCGTTACCGGCAAGTCACTTTACTCGTACCGTAATGCATGATCCCGTGTCCAACACCTTGGTCACATTGAGCTCATTATGATGATGCATTACCGAGTGGGCCCAGAGATACCTCTCCGTCATACGGAGTGACAAATCCCAGTCTCGATCCGTGTCAACCCAACAGCTACTTTCGGAGATACCTGTAATGCACCTTTATAGTCACCCAGTTACGTTGTGACGTTTGATACACCCAAGGCACTCTTACGGTATCCGGGAGTTACACGATCTCATGGTCGAAGGAAGAGATACTTGACATTGGCAAAGCTCTAGCAAAACGAACTACACGATCTTTTATGCTATGCTTAGGATTGGGTCTTGTCCATCACATCATTCTCCTAATGATGTGATCCCGTTATCAACGAAATCCAATGTCCATAGTCAGGAAACCATGACTATCTGTTGATCACAACGAGCTAGTCAACTAGAGGCTCACCAGGGACATATTGTGGTCTAAGTATTCACACGTGTATTACGATTTCCGGATAATACAGTTATAGCATGAATAAAAGACATTTATCATGAACATTGAAATATAATAATACTTTTATTATTGCCTCTAGGGCATATTTCCAACACGTTGATCAGCGAGCCATAGAAAATAAATGGATCTTTAAGAAGAAGATAGACGCGGATGGTAATGTGACCATCTATAAAGCTCGGCTTGTCGCTAAGGGTTATCGACAAGTTCAAGGGGTTGACTACGATGAGACTTTCTCACCCGTAGCGAAGCTGAAGTCCGTCCAAATCATGTTAGCAATTGCTGCATTCTATGATTATGAGATATGGCAAATGGACGTCAAAACGGCATTCCTTAATGGTTTCCTTAAGGAAGAATTGTATATGATGGAGCCGGAAGGTTTTGTCGATTCCTAAGAATGCTGACAAGGTGTGCAAGCTCCAACGCTCGATTTATGGGCTGGTGCAAGCATCTCGGAGTTGGAACATTCATTTTGATGAGATGATCAAAGCGTTTGGGTTTATGCAGACTTATGGAGAAGCCTGCATTTACAAGAAAGTGAGTGGGAGCTCTGTAGCATTTCTCATATTGTATGTGGATGACATACTGTTGATGGGAAATGATATAGAATTCTTGGAAAGCATAAAGGCCTACTTGAACAAGTGTTTTTCAATGAAGGACCTTGGAGAAGCTGCTTATATATTAGGCATCAAGATCTATAGAGATAGATCGAGACGCCTCATTGGTCTTTCACAGAGTACGTACCTTGACAAGATATTGAAGAAGTTCAAAATGGATCAATCAAAGAAGGGGTTCTTGCCTGTATTGCAAGGTACGAGATTGAGCATGGCTCAATGCCCGACCACGGCAGAAGATAGAGAAAAGATGATTGCTGTCCCCTATGCCTCGACCATAGGGTCTATCATGTATGCTAGGTTGTGTACCAGACCTGATGTAAACCTTGCCGTGAGTTTGGTAGGAAGGTACCAATGTAATCCCGGCATGGAACACTGGACAGCGGTCAAGAATATCCTGAAGTACCTGAAAAGGACCAAGGAAATGTTTCTCATTTATGGAGGTGACGAAGAGCTCGTCATAAATGGTTACGTCGATGCTAGCTTCGACACAGATCTGGATGACTCTAAGTCACAAACCGGATACGTGTATATTTTGAATGGTGGGGCAGTAAGCTGGTGCAGTTGCAAGCATAGCGTTGTGGCGGGATCTACATGTGAAGTGGAGTACATGGCAGCCTCGGAGGCAACACACGAAGCAGTCTGGGTGAAGGAGTTCACTACCGACCTAGGAGTCATACCCAATGCGTCGGGGCCGATGACTCTCTTCTGTGACAACACTAGAGCTATTGCCCTTGCCAAGGAGCCCAGGTTTCATAGGAAGACCAGGCATATCAAGCGTCGCTTCAACTCCATTCGTGAAAGTGTTCAAAATGGAGACATAGAAATTTGTAAAGTACATATGGACCTGAATGTAGCAGATCCATTGACTAAACCTCTCCCTAGAGCAAAACATGATCAACACCAGAATTCCATGGGTGTTCGATTCATCACAATGTAACTAGATGATTGACTCTAGTGCAAGTGGGAGACTATTGGAAATATGCCCTAGAGGCAATAATAAAATGATTATTGTATTTCCTTGTTCATGATAATTGTCTATTATTCATGCTATAATTGTATTATCCGGAAATCGTAATACATGTGTGAATACATAGACCACAATGTGTCCCTAGTGAGCCTCTAGTTGACTAGCTCGTTGATCAACAGATAGTCATGGTTTCCTGGCTATGGACATGGGGATGTCATTGATAATGGGATCACATCATTAGGAGAATGATGTGATGGACAAGACCCAATCCTAGGCTTAGCTCAAAGATCGTGTAGTTCGTTTGCTGTAGCTTTTCTGAATGTCAAGTATCATTTCCTTAGACCATGAGATTGTGCAACTCCCGGATACCGTAGGAGTGCTTTGGGTGTGCCAAACGTCACAACGTAACTGGGTGACTATAAAGGTACATTACAGGTGTCTCCGAAAGTGTCTGTTGGGTTGGCACGAATCGAGACTGAGATTTGTCACTCCGTATGACGGAGAGGTATCTCTGGGCCCACTCGATAATGCATCATCATAATGAGCTCAATGTGATCAAGTGGTTGATCATGGGATCATGCATTACGGTACGAGTAAAGTGACTTGCCGGTAACGAGACTGAACAAGGTATTGGGATACTGACGATCGAGTCTCGGGAAAGTAACCTACCGATTGACAAGGAGAATTGAATATAGGATTGATTAAGTCCTCGACATCGTGGTTCATCCGATGAGAGCGTCGAGGAGCATGTGGGAGCCAACATGGGTATCCAGATCCCGCTGTTGGTTATTGGCCGGAGAGCCATCTCGGTCATGTCTACGTGTCTCCCGAACCCGTAGGGTCTACACACTTAAGGTTCGGTGACGCTAGGGTTGTAGAGATATGAGTATGCAGTAATCCAAAAGTTGTTCGGAGTCTCGGATGAGATCCTGGACGTCACGAGAAGTTCCGGAATGGTCCGGAGGTGAAGAATTATATATAGAAAGTGTAGTTTCGGCCATCGGGAAAGATTCGGGGTCACCGGTATTGTACCGGGACCACCGGATGGGTCCCGGGGGTCCACCGGGTGGGGCCACCCATCCCGGAGGGCCCCATGGGTTGAAGTGGGGAGGGGAACCAGCCCATAGTGGGCTGGTGCGCCCCCCTCTTGGGCCCCCCTGCGCCTAGGGTTGGAAACCCTAGGGTGGGGGGCGCCTCCACTTGCCTTGGGGGGTACTCCACCCCCCTTGCCCCCCCCAAGGAGATCCCATCTCCTAGGGCCGGCGCCCCCCAAGGGGCCTATATAAAGGGGGGGAGGGAGGGCAGCCGCACCTCAAGTCTTGGCGCCTCCCTCCCCCCTGCTACACCTCTCCCTCTCGCAGAAGCTCGGTGAAGCCCTGCTGCGATCACTGCTGCATCCACCACCACGCCCGTGCTGCTGGATCTTCATCAACCTCTCCTTCCCCCTTGCTGGATCAAGGAGGAGACGTCATCCGCTCCGTACGTGTGTTGAACGCGGAGGTGCCGTCCGTTCGACACTTGGTCATCGGTGATTTGGATCACGGCGAGTACGACTCCATCATCCCCATTCTCTTGAATGCTTCCGCTCGCGATCTACAAGGGTATGTAGATGCACTCTCCTCTCGTTGCTAGTTGACTCCATAGATTGATCTTGGTGATACGTAGGAATTATTTTTGTTTTCTGCAACGTTCTCCAACACCGGAGGGTTACCGGAACCCCCCCGGGGGGAAGTAATGGGCCTTATGGGCCCTAGTGGAGAGAGAGAGGGGCGGCCAGGGTGGGCCGCGCGCCCCCTCCCCCTCTGGTCCGAATTGGACTAGGAGAGGGGGGGCGGCGCCCCCCTTTCCTTCTCCCTCTCCCCCTTCCTTCCCCCCTCCTAGTAGGAGTAGGAAAGAGGGGAGTCCTTCTCCTACTAGGAGGAGGACTCCTCCTTGGCGCGCCCAAGGGCCAGCCGGCCTCCCCCTTGCTCCTTTATATACGGGGGCAGGGGGGCACCTCTAGACACACAAGTTGATCCTCGTGATCGTTTTCTTAGCCGTGTGTGGTGCCCCCTTCCACCATACTCCTCGATAATATTGTAGCGGTGCTTAGGTGAAGCCCTGCGATGGTAGAACATCAAGATCGTCACCACGCCATCGTGCTGACGGAACTCTTCCCTGACACTTTGCTGGATCGGAGTCCGGGGATCGTCATCGAGCTGAACGTGTGCTAAAACTCGGAGGTGCCGTAGTTTCGGTGCTTGATCGGTCGGGCCGTGAAGACGTACGACTACATCAACCGCGTTGTCATAACGCTTCCGCTGTCGGTCTACAAGGGTACGTAGACAACACTCGTTCCTCTCGTTGCTATGCATCACCATGATCTTGCGTGTGCGTAGGAAATTTTTTAAAATTACTACGTTCCCCAACAAGACCACCCATCAATTTGGGCCGGGCTAGGGGATTTCAAAAGGCCAAAACGGTCCGACCCAATTTGGACAGCCACGCTTGACGCCTAGTGTCCGGCTGTCCAGTGTGGACATATAGAGAAGGCATGATGTACCGCATTGGAGAAGCCCGTAGAACCTTTGTAGTTGGTTTCATAGCAAGTATCATTCATGATGAACTAGACAATTTTAGTGAGGTGGCAATTAAATGAAGAAACAAATAGTTCAGTATCATATCATGATACCATATCATAATAAATAATGTGCTACTATCTGTCATGCATAATAATAAATAAGATCATCTAAAATACAACCATATACTAGTATCATGTTCCAAATGGCGGCGGCCGCGGCAAAGCCCATGCCAGTGGAGCGGCTCGGGCAGCGCCTGGTGGCGCCGGCGGCTCCGACGCCGGAGAGCCCTCTGCGCCTGTCGTGGCTCGACCGCTACCCCACCCAGATGGCGCTCATCGAGTCGCTGCACGTGTTCAAGCCCGACATGGCCAGGGAGGGTGACAGCCCCGCGAGGGCGGTGGAGCAGGCCCTGGCGAGGGCGCTGGTGGAGTACTACCCGCTGGCGGGCCGCCTCACGGTGACCGACGCCGGCGAGCTGCAGGTGGACTGCAGCGACGGTGGCGTGTGGTTCATTGAGGCTGCCGTCAGGTGTCGGCTAGAGGACGTGGACTATCTCGAGTACCCGCTCGCCGTCGACAAGGACGAGCTGCTCCCCCACCCGCGCCCCAAGCCCAGCCGTGAGGAGGAGAGCAAGCTCATCTTGCTTGTCCAGGTACTTGCTGGATTCGATTCGCATTGCGCCGTGTCGGTGGTGGATTTGGATTTTACTGACTGCGAGCTAAACTGGACGTGGTGGACGCGACACGCAGGTCACGACGTTCGATTGCGGCGGCTTCGTGGTGGGGTTCCGGTTCAGCCACGCGGTGGCCGACGGGCCCGGGGCGGCGCAGTTCATGGGCGCGGTGGGGGAGCTGGCGCGCGGGGCGGGCCGCATCTCGGTGGCACCGGTGTGGGGCCGCGACGCGATCCCTGATCCGGCGAGCGCCCTCGTCGGCAGCCTCCCGGACCCCGCGGGCGCCAAGCGGCTCGAATACCTCGCCATAGACATCTCCGCCGACTACATCAACCACTTCAAGGGCCAGTTCGCGGCGGCCACCGGCGGCGCCCGGTGCTCAGCGTTCGAGGTGCTCATCGCCAAGGCCTGGCAGAGCCGCACGCGCGCCGCTTGCTTCGACGAGGACTCCCCCGTACACCTCTGCTTCGCGATGAACGCGCGGCCGCTCCTCCACGCCCGCCTCCCCTCGGGGGGCGCCGGCTTCTACGGCAACTGCTACTACATCATGCGCGTCTCCTCCACGGCCGGGAAGGTGGCGTCCTCCACCATCACCGACGTCGTGAAGATCATCAAGGAGGGGAAGAAGCGGCTGCCCACAGAGTTCGCGCGGTGGGGCGCCGGCGAGATGGGCAGCGTGGACCCGTACCAGATCACCTCCGACTACCGGACGCTGCTCGTCTCCGACTGGACGCGGCTGGGCTTCGCCGAGGTGGACTACGGGTGGGGCCCTCCCGCCCACGTCGTGCCGCTGACAAACCTGGACTACATCGCCACGTGCATCCTCGTCAAGCCCTGGGTACACAAGCCAGGCGCCCGGCTCATCACGCAGTGCGTGACGCCCGACCGTGTCGCCGCTTTCCACGACGCCTTGGTGGACACCAACTAGCTCACCACTGTCTCCAACACTTCGTCCTCCGTTTGCTCACGGGTTTCCTTCCCTCCTATCTTTACACTGGTAATGACTGGTTATAGTGTTTAATTACAGCTTGGTGAGCGAAGGTAATGGTAAACCGAGCAAGAATAATGGCAAACAGGTAGCGAAGAAACGTATAAAGTGGAAGAAGAATACGCATAGATATGGGGGACAGGTAGACACAGCTAGATGGTAGTGGGCAACGGCGAGATTGGTATAGGATGCCTTTGGGTGGTCTCGGTGGCGTTGCAGGAAGTGTATACTACATCCTTTTCTTCTTCTTTCTTTTTTTTTCCTTGACTTTTTGGGGGGTTTCGATTGAAGGATCGAAGCTGGGCTTGGTGGGAAGCTACCAACCAGTCTCCCCTCGACTTGTGTACTGTACTGTTCTATTCTTTTTCTTTCGAATATAAACCCGCAAGGTGTACAGACTATTCTCTAGTGGTTTTCCCCCATGTAAAGTAGCTAATTCTACATAATTATAATGGTATAATGTGAAGAACAGCTCACCTTGGTGTCGTCTTTTTCACAGGTTAGAAATTATCTGTGTTTTTAGCGAGATCTGCGGACTGCGGGTATAAACTTGAACTCATAGCGTACATGCATGAAATGTTTGAAGAAATCTTCACGATACTTACATGCGAGTACAGTATCATTTTGCTCCAACTTTTGGCACCATTGACGTACCTATGCATGGCACAACGTCCACAGTAGCTGGCTGCTAGTCCTTCCCCAAGGATTTTCTTTTCTTTCCTCCGTAAATTCCTTCCCAAGCATGGAGTCGCTATTATTCTTTGTTTATATAATTTTGTGAATGCTTTTACCACGCTTGCCGCGTGGTACTCGCTATTATTCTTGACCCGTCAATTTGTCCTGTCCTTGCAAACCAGCTGGCTGACATAGACGAATCACAAATAGAGTATGGGACTGCAGGACAGAGGTGGTCATCGTCTATGTATACTCTTCCTTGTACCGTTCCAAGGCCGACAAAATTGGAAGAAGTTCCCACCCGTGGCCAAATAAGTAGGTAGAAATGCCAAAGGTGGCTCATCTTTACCGAACAAATCGACTTAAAATTTCTATACAGAATGCCCCGCGTTCCAAGCATTCTAAAGTAGTTCACCGAATGATAAGTTGATGCAGCCAAGCCTCAGTTGTAGGGGTTGGTGCCTTGGTGATGAGAAGGAAAAATCAAGAGTGAAGTAGCAAAGCCGCAAAGGTGTACGTCCTCATGTTAGAGACAAGGGAATGGTCACGATCTCGGTGCTGTTGGATGATAGCGCGGAGCCAACGACCCAAGTACCAGGATGACACTTCTCGCGGGTGTCGAATGTGTCACACGATTTCGACGTGACCAATTGTTAACTGTGCAGGTAGTGTCGTGTTGCTGATTTGGTGCTGGACCTTGCCGCTTGGAATCTTTAGCTGCTTTGGTTGCTTGCACGGAACCTAACCAGCGCACACAAGTGTCGATGAGCCTATAACAGATCGTCGTGGACTGGTGGTAGACGTGCATCCGAGATTGGGAGGGAAGCCGCTAGCGCATCAACTCAGACTACAATCGAATCGGGACCTCTCAAATTCCCCTATACGCTTGGGATGACGATATACGTTCGGGCTGTTCGGCATGGAATTCCCTATTCGCCGCTTACTGCGGCAAGTAGTCGCCGCTTCGCATAGGGGCGCAGATCAACCTGGGCCGGCCCATTTGAGTGGTTTCGCTTCGCGAGACCAAAAAACCGCAAAAAATGATATCGCTAGGAATCGAACCCACGACCTACAGAAGGGGAACACGCCGAGGCGGCCACAACAACTGACTCATGGCTGTGTAGGAATAATAATGTTTATCCTAAAGAAACTAAGAGGGACGACAAAACCTAAAACCAGTTCGCGGATATATACCAAAACACTTTTTTCCTTCTACTGGTTCTTTCTGGTTTTTCTTCACAGTCTTATTCTGTTCTATTATTTCTCGTTTTCTATGTTTTTTCTTTTTTAATATTTTCCTTTTTCTTTTTAAGCTTTTCAAAAAGTTCAAATATGGTTCAGAATTTTCAAAAATGTTCTTTTTGTCAAAAATTGTTCATATTTCTGAATTAGTGTTCACATTTTCAAAATTTTGTTCACAATTTCGACAAATGTTCCTGATTTTTTGCTTGCTTTCTTTCTTTTTCCTTTTCTTTTTCTTCTCTTTTCTTCAAAAGAAATTCAAAATATTCAAATTGTGTTCGTATTTTTATAAAATGTTCAGTTTTAAAAAAAAAATTCTCAAAATTCAAAAATTGTTCTTGTTACACAAAAATTTTCAAATCTTTCGAAATGCAGAAAATGTACTGGACTTCATAAAATATTCATGTTTTCATAAAATTTTCGCGCTTCCAAATTTGTTCGGGATTTTTCAAAATTATTCTCTATTTTCAAAATTTGTTCTCAAGATTTTAAAAAAGATTTATGCTTTAAAAAAAATTTCATGCTTCCAAATTTGTTAGGGATTTTTCAAGATTGTTCTCTATTTCAAATTTGTTCTCAAGATTCAAAAAATGTTCGTGCTTCCAAATTTGTTCTCCGTTTTAAAATTTGTTCTCAAGATTAAAAAAATGTTCGTGCTTCAAATTCCAAAAATGTTTGGGACATTCAAAATTTATTCGTTTTCAGAAATTTTGTTTGCCTAATCATACGTTCAAGACGTTGTACACTACAGTAACTAATTCTGGGTCGACACAAGTCCAGTTGTACGTTGTGCTAAGTTATGTTCGATGCGGGCTGCTCCCCTACAAACTCTGCTATTTAGCTGGAGTGGCTGGGAGTACGCTCTTCCAACCTACAGGTCGCCGGTTCGATTCTCCTCAACTCGCATCCCTACGTTTTTCCTTTCTTTTTACTTCCAGTGGTACAACGCGATTGGCCGGCCCAGTTAGGCTACCCCTATGCGTGGCGACGACAGCATCCCCAAACCCAGTCTATATTTTCGGCGGATATAGGACGGACCCAACGTACACGGACCATTCGCCACGTCAGGCCGGCCTTCGATGGGCCATCCCGTGATCACATATCCACCACCTTTGACCAAACCCAAAGCCTCCGTCCACACTCTCGAACGCTACACTGCATGTCTCCTCCCCGCCCCTCCTTGTCCCGCCCTCACTGTCCCCTCCTCTTCACATGGTCTGTTGGAAAATGTTGCATTGAAAATAAATAAAAATTACGCACGCGCAAGATCTATCCATAGAGATGCATAGCTACGAGTGGGGGTGAGGGAGTCCTGGATTAGGGGGTCTCCGAACAGCCGGATTATATCCTTTGGCCGGACTGTTGGACTACGAAGATACAAGATTGAAGACCTCGCCCCGTGTCCGGATGGGACTCTACTTGACGTGGAAGGCAAGCTAGGCAATACGGATATGTATATCTCCTCCTTTGTAACCGACCTTGTGTAACCCTAGCCCCCTCCGGTGTCTATATAATCCGGAGGGTTTTAGTCCGTAGGACAACATATAATCATACCATAGGCTAGCTTTTAGGGTTTAGCCTCTCCGATCTCGTAGTAGATCAACTCTTTTAATACTCGTATCATCAAGAATAAATCAAGCAGGACGTAGGGTTTTACCTCCATCAAGAGGGCCCGAACCTGGGTAAAACATCATGTCCCCTGCCTCCTGTTACCCCCTACCCGAGATCCACCGATTTTGACACCGACATTGGTGCTTTCATTGAGAGTTTCTCTGTGACGTCGCCGTAAGGAAGGATGCCTCATCTTGTTATTAAAAACAACATTACCGCCGGGGGAGCTCTGGCTGCCGGCCAAACTCTCCGGCTAGGCAGTTTCATCATGACCGCCTGTTCGGCCGCTGCACCGATGATGACTTCTTGGGTCATCAAAAACAACCTCCACGTCGGCTCGGAATTGGCCGAGCAGATGGATCCAAATGGAGCTCTCTTCCCTAAACGAACTCTTGGATCACATCGCCGCCTTGGGAGTCGCTACGGACTATGATCAGATTGGGCTTAAACCCGATCGAAGGGAGCTTAACTCTCCACCGGTCACCCATCATGTTGCGGTGGTGGAGGAACAATGTGGCGATTCTTCCTCTATCTTGAGGACTAACTATGTCTGAATTCCTGAGCTCTCCGAGCCGGATACCCGTTTACGGGAGGACATTGCCCAAACCCTGAACCTAGAGTCAGGCAGCGGGCCAGACTCATCGGGCAACATACCGGAATCCGAACTTCCAAGATCGGAAACCCCTCAGCCCCTGGGTCTCAGATCGGGTAGGGGTCCGGACTCAAATCCACCACCCACCCAGACATAAACGATCTTTCCCACATCAAGCAAGAGCCCCATGAAACAGTACATCATTATTGGGCCATATTCCTCCTTGTGATGAACAAGGTTAAGGACTGCCGCGAGCAAGACGCAGTCTCACTTTTTTGCAATAACTGCACGGACAAGGGAATCCTTAACGCCATAAGTCGCCGTGACATATCACGCTTCGCCGACTTGGCGTCCATAGTACGAAAGTACTATGCGATGAAAAGTGCCTGGAAAACCGAAACAAAATTTTGGGATAATCCGGCTCCGAATATGCACCCAGTCCGAGGTAAATGGGTGCACTATCATAAGACACCCGAGTTCATTACAAAGAAGCAAAAACCCTCTACAGGGCACGGAACCGTATTGGAGGGATGGCTTAACGGACCCTGCAAAATTCATAGCACAACAGATACAATACCAACGCACAGCCTTAGAGCATGTTGGATACTCCGGCAGGTGGCCAAAAGTGGTGAGGATCTTCTTATCCCAAATGCCACAGAGCACCATCCTGTGGATAATAATACGGTATTAACAGTCTTTGAGACCTTCGCGTCAAATAATAGGCGGAAGCGAACACTCCGCAGCATTGCCAAAATCTGCCATGTAGCGGCAATAAATCCATGGAGTGACACGGCTATTACCTTCAATGCCAGTGACGAAC